TCTATAACCCTTCCGTTTCTTGCATATTGGCTCACAATTATATCTTTAAAATTTTCATTTCGAACAATTTTATATGAACCTTCCAACTTCCATTTAATATTCAAGTCTGTTGCTCGACGAATTCGAACTAGAATCTTTTCAACTTTTAATCCTCTTCGAATCGCTTCTTGGAATATGTAGAGTCGACAATTATCTGAAGAGAAGATCATATCATCAATAATGCAGACCTGGATATGTGGGAAATCTTTGATTTGAACAGTACCATTAATAAGTTCATTAATGGTTTCTTCAATTTCTCCACCATTCCGAAAAGAAGAGTTTATTGTTGATTGACTGAATAAAATTTCGAATGGGTTCATATTAATCGTATAATCTCCGTCAGCCAATTGCAATTTATATTTAAGGATTTTTGTTCGAAGAAGTATAAGACTTCCGAGAATCCATACAAATATAAATGAAAAAGGAGCTAGGAAAAGAATTAGAATTAACAATGTTAATTCTATTTGATAGTTTACACTTGATTCGACAAGTGTATCTTGAGAAGAAAAACTTGATCGATTCTCCTCTTCGGTGGATTTTGTTAAGTTATTTGAAGAATTTCCTTCTTCAAATTCTTCAGAATCGACCGTATAGGTGGGTCGATCTTCGATATCCCAGGAGTTTTCGTTTTCTTGGGGAATATCGTTCCAATGGGAGTTCATCTCATCTTTCCATTGTTGGTATATTTCATTGCTTTTAGGTTCAAAATCAACTTTATCATTTTTTTGTTTCTTGTTAAAAAGATTTTTGAAAAAAGACATTTTAATAATGATTAAGTAGTTTTTAAAATATTGTTAAATTTTATTAAATTGTAATTTAAGAAAGTTAATTCTAGAAAGTACTGTTTAAATAAAGTTTTCTTATCAAAATTAAAGTTTATCGAGTTAATATTTCTAAGTGAGATTTCATTGAACTAGTGAATAATTCTTAATTTTCTTAAAAGAAAATAATTTTATCAACAAGACGCGTTCTCAAGTTTGCCAATTTTGGAAAAATTAAAAAAAATAAATAATAAACATGTTTAAACACGAAATTTGTTTTTCCACATACATCATGGGATTCTTATCAAAAAAAATTATAAATAAACAGGTTTTCGTCATTTACTAACATAATCAAAACATGAAATAGATTTTCATATAACAGA